TCAATTTCTGAGAATAACCAAAATAAACTATCAATTTCTGCCGAATAACTAAAATAAACTAACAATTTTTGCCAAATAACCAAAATAAACTTTTTTTTGCAAAATAACCCAAGTTATTTAGCAGCCCGACGGATAACTATATATTATCATCATCAATTAATACCGATACGTAATTAATAATATCAGTAGTCATTCATTCAATTTTTTAAAAAATTTAATAAAATTTTAATTATCAGCATATGTTATAAGCTCTAAATTACCAAGTTTAAGAATTTCTGTTACCGAAGTAAAACCTGTATATCTATCCCCGTTATCAACTTCAGTACCTGCGGTGATAATGGCAGCTAGACTCACGCGTGATAAATCCGATGAATAAGAAAACACGGGCCCACCACTATCACCATAAAAAGCGGTCATGTCTGATGTCATTACCACTTGCCATATTCTATCTTCAAATTTATGAAACGCATATGTTGATATTACGTACCCACAGGACATTCTTGTCGAAGAGCCAAATTTGCATAAATGAACTCCATCACTAAGTTTAGAGACATCTGTAGCATCTTTTATAAATAATTCCCTATGTGTACTTGAATTTGTATTCTTAATAATTGCTGCTGGTTTGATGTCATTATCTGTTATTTTGATCACAGCATAGTCGAATGGAGATCGTTCACTAATAACCGTACTACCAATTACTTTTCCTTTATAAGAAAATTGATGGTCCAGATCAGCGCAATGTCCTGAAGTAACTATGTAAGTTGAATCTGGATTTGTTTTATTTTCAGCGAAAAAACCTAATGTACAGCTCATATTTGTATTTTGATTTTTTATCTCTTCTCCAGGTAATTCCTTTTGATCTATCACCTGTCTTTTTTTGAGATTCCGACTTGGAGCCTTTGTATGACGTTGATACTGTATAAGCGGACTTGGCCTTAATAGTTCAACTTGTTTTATAAACTCTTCATGCACCCCTCGGTTTATAGTTACAACGATCCTATTATGGTGCATATCCATAAAAAAAAATGTGTTTTTTGGGTTATATCTATGAACCAAATCTATTATTTTATCAAAATTTGTTTTTAAATAAGCTTCGGAATATGTTACTTTTACAAAATTAAGATGCTTTCTGTATGGTCCTACTCCGGGTAATGTCAAAACAGATCCA